CGCCAGCGGACAGTTAACAGACAAGGAGACAGCAAAGACAGACATCAAAATGCCAGACGACTTGCAATTCGTCCGCATGGATGCGCTCACGTGCCGGTATAATTTTCCTCGACGCAGTGCGATTCACACGCCCTTCGTCCGCTACCGCATCCGCAACCATCTGCAAAAGCATTTTCCAGATAAGCTTTCGAAGTTAACGAAAGAGCTATCAAAATAAGGGTATCCAGCTCTGTCTAGCGCTCGCTACCACCGAGTGTGGTTCAAGTAATCATTTGGAAACATTCCGAGTACCTGCACTTTTCGTAGGTTCTTCTAAGAGAGGTAAAGCACTGTGGAAAAATGATTTCTGTTTTTATGCATTTTTGCATCCATGCAATACGCAAACACACACTGTAAAGGGTCGTCAATGCATATTTCGATTTCCAGGCCTATGGCAGCTACAAAGCTGATTTGATAGGTCCCCAAGTATAAAATGCACAGCACGCTCTTCTAACTTCCTTGCACGGGCAGGCGAAAGACATTTGGCCCGGAGAACGATTTCGGAGATCAGAAAAGTTACGAAGATGTTCTTTGCCCAGTGTAATTAAAGAAATTTAAATTCAGCCTTCATATCCTAGGCTTATACATTAAAATTCGAACTGCTACCATGCCAGTACGAGAACCAGATTGGGTAACAACTGCACAAAGCTGAATTTAAAATGCTGTTTGTTATCCGCACATGTTTCTTGAAAGTTAATTGAACTCTCACGTTTCCCTACATTCCAAAGACGGACAAATGAGATTTGACGCTGAAATCTTGTAACTCCGCAATCGAGGCAGCTGGGTGCTGAAATTTCCTAAGCAATATTGTCTCGCACTTATTTGGACAGGCTCGCACCGTGAAAATAATAATTGGCCAACGCACGGGCTGCCCGTGCTAAGGTGCGTTTTTTGCAGAGTTCCTAGCATTTTTTGTCGCTACCGGCATCGGTTTTTTCGGCAGATGCTTCTAGTTGAAAGAATTTCAGACTGGCC